AAAGATTGTTACTTTGACCGGCCAATCACAGAGCTCGTTATTAACTTCGCTGTCATTGGCCTCTCGGCGGCGAAGTGTTGCGAATTCTCAAACACGATGTGTAGAAAAGAGCAACGCACCGTCCGATCGGGACTTCAGTTGTCACGACACTTCGAGCCCTACTAGACCTTGTTGGTTAGTGGTGCTTCCTAGTAAAACTGTTGTTTCATTATTAATCCAAATATCCAAATCGTCCTTACGTCGAATTTTAACGATTACACCGACTTCGAAGATCAGCGAGTATTTCCAATCCAGACGTCGAAGATACCTGAAGGCATCATTCGTTGTCTGCTATTATACCACAGTGCACGAAAGCCAAGTAGAATCGCTCCCTGTCAGAAACATACGCTTTTTGAAAAAGAAAAACAGTAGTTTTAAAACCATTACAAATTGCGTCGAACTGACACCGACGATTTATCGAACAACGACGGTGAATACGAGGAGAAGTCTCGACAGAGACTTATATTCGATTTCACCGCTCCGAGTCAAGCCACGACGACGCTTCGACACTTTGAACCTTATGAATTTTTCAGTAATTAGTAAACACTGGTAAAACTGATAGTGCGAAAGGTGGTGTAAAGAGCGACGGGCTATTGCAGAGCCGATACAACGGACATCTCTGCAATTTTGAGGCATATACCACGCAACAGAATTCTAACACATATTGTCATTGTAAGAAATATATTATTATTGTAAGAAAGCTTGAACTGTTAGAGAATTATGTTTGCCGGTGTCACCTCGCTTGTTGCAGAGGCTCCATAGAGCTTCTTACACGAATAAGCCGGTATCTGTACCAACTCCTATACGAAGATGGATCATCACAATACGAGATCATCTTCAAGAGTGGCGGTTGCTGAGCGTCCAGAAACTCCAGATAACGGAGAGGATGCTACGACAGTACTAATAAATTTAATCAAATTGATCACATAAGAAGAGCATGCAATATAGAAAACATAAATGGATGGGTGACAAAACGAAAACAGGAGTGGAACGAACATATCAGTAGAATGACAGAGGATAGAATAGTACGAATAGCACGAAATAAGTCACCAAATCGACGAAGAAGTATTGGCAGACCAAGAAAAAGATGGTGCGACAATTTAAACAATTTAGGAGACTAATATTGAAGAAGAAACAGGCTTTAAGGCCTACATACTAGAAGGAAGAAGAAAAAGAAGATCACATATTAATACCTAAGCGGTGGGCAACCTCCGTAACGGATGTTAGAACTTATAGAGGCGCAAATTGCGATTCGGACCATTTCTTGGTTATTTTGAAGGTAAAACAAAGAATATCAATGTTAAGAGAAGAGAAAGGCGCCAAACAAAGAAAATGGAACACATATATGTTTAAAAATCCTAAAAAGAAGAATGAGTAGCAGCAGAAAATTAAAGTAATATTAAATGAAAGAGTAGAACAAAACAACATTAAAGAATAATGAAATGTCATCCAAACGACAATTACAAATATGGCAAAGGAAACATTAGGTGAAACCTCAAGCAAAAGAAACGAGGAATGGTTTGACCAAGACTGCCAACAAGTAATAAATAGCAAAAATATAGCTAGACAGAAATGTCTACAAAGAGATTCCCTATTGAATAGACGGGCATATGAAGAACTCGTGAAGAAAACATGTAGAAGGAAAAAGTGAGAAATGTTAATAGAAAAATACAACAAATTACAGATTATAACAACAGAAGAGAGACTAGAAAATTTTACAAGGAAACCAAGCAATCCACCCAAGGATACATGACAGGATCAACGGTTTGCAAGGACAAACATGGGGAAATTATCAACGAGAAAGAGGAAATAATGAAAAGGTGGAAGGAGCATTTTCAAGAGCTGTTAAACTCAGAAAAAAGAACAAAGCGAAGATGAAGAAATAATTCACCACACAATAGAACAACTAGTTGAGCAGCCAACATTGGTTGCAACTTGCATTGGAGCAACCAACCAAGAAACGATAAACGTCATAAAAAATCTAAAAAAAATAACAAAGCTCCTACAGCACAGATGGAATAATTGCAGAACTGATAAAAATGGTGGACATAGACACTAGAGGTCATATGGATACTAGAGGTCATCCCAGAAGATTGGAAAGTATGAATCATACTTCCTATGTATAAAGGGGAAGACAAACGACCCTGCAAAATAGGGGCATAGCAGTTTTAAATGGCATCTACAACATATTATCAGGAATTATACAGCCGCGTGGAATCGTTTTCGGAGATGATTGGTGAATACCAACGTGGCTTTAGACCAAAGAGGTCAACTATAGACCAAATACATATATTAAGAGGTATACATGAATAATGTGTTGAATATAACATACCGATTTACAACTTGTATATCGATTTCAAACAGGCGTTTGATGTAGTAGATCGACAAAAGATGTTAGAGCAACTATCTATGTTAGGGATACCCAATAAGTTGGTTAAACTTATACAAATGACTCTGGAGAGTTCCAAAGCTATGACGAGAATAGATGGAGATATGACGCAGGCCTTTGATATTGAAAATGGAGTTAGACAAGGTGATGCCTTATCAACAACACTTTTTAATCTAACTTTAGAAGCTGTTGTTAGAAAACTGGATATAAACGGCTGTATTAATACAAGATCAATGCAAATATGCGCATATGCGGATGATGTTGCCATAATAAGCCGCAACAAAAGGGTATTAAGCGAAAAAGTTATAGAACTGAAACGAGAAGCTGCTACGTTTGGTCTATATATAAATGAAAGCAAAACAAAATATATGGAGTGCACAAAATCGAATCAACATGAGAATCTGAAGGTAGACAACCATACCTACAAATATGCCTCCACTTTTCCCTAACTGGGCTCAATAATAAATGACAACAACAACATCAGTCAAGAAATACAAGCATAGATTCTTAGCGGTAATAATAATAATTAATAATAATTTTATGCATACAAAGACTTAATGAAAAGTAAGTTACTGAATCGTGAGTCTAAGCTTAGAATCTACAAAACAGTAATTAGACCAGTGGTCACATGGATGTAAAGCGTGGACCCTCTCAACCAATGATGGAAATCAACTGAGAATATTTGAGCGCAAAATACTAAGGAAGATATTTAGACCAACCCAATGCAGCGATTGTTCGTGGAGAATTAAAATGAACCACGAGCTGGATGAACTAATGCAGAGCGCAGATATTGTTAGATTTGTAAAGTCACAAAGACTAAACTGGCTTGGTCGCCTAGAAAGAATGCCAGATAATCGAGCTGTAAAGTAATCCAGACATGGAAGTCCCAAGAAAACAGAACAAGAGGAAGGCCTCGTAAAATATGGATAGACGACGTAGAGAGGGATCTTAAAACAATGAACAGTGGCGAAGAAAAGTATCCGACGGGGCAGAATGGAAGCACATTGTTAAGCCGGCCAAGACTCACACATTAGAAAAAGAAGAAGAAGATTACAAACAAATCTTTTACAAAAGTCACACCTATTTGAATATTTATTCTGGCTATCCTTACAAGAATAACAACGACCTCGTTTTGTTGCAGATCCCGGCACTTTTGTTTGTTTCTTTACACTAATACCGGTGGGATCTACTGCAATGATTACGGATTTATGGACCCGATGGTTTCTTCTTATATTGCTTCAACCCTTCGTTTTATATTGGGTGAGGTTAATTGTTTTCCAAGCTCCTCCAGCAATAATTTTCTGTGATGTTTTATGTGTACTTGGATGATCCTTTAAGGATTTTTTATATTCCATAAAACGAAAACAGTGTAGCATGCAATATCCAAAAAGTTTAAAAAAATACATAGGGGCCATCTTCTTGTTGCTGTTTTGCACGTGTATTCTCAGATCAATTTATCTAAAATATCAACCCCACATTTTTCGTTTTGTTGTAATCCAAAATAATGTTTGGTTTAAACTTTTGGTCTTCACCAGACATTTCATGTTTATTCTATAAGGTCGATAATAATACGGCAAATTTGTTAGGCTTGGTTACACATGAAACTAAAGTAATGTTTCTAGTGAACAAAAGTTTTGAAGAACAGTGAACGATCTGGTATTTCAAGCAATGATTTGGACAAACTCTTCCTATTTTTTCTAATAGTACGCAATAGAGTTTAATTTTTGGATAAGAGTTCTTCAGATAAAGCAATAAATTGCCAGTTGTAATATTTCGACAAGACCTATACCAATGTTCTGCAAGTGTTTTGACAACTCTTGGGCCTTGTTTACGTTCAGATTTATCACAAATCTTTCTTGAGTATATATCTCAAAGTTGCAGCCATAAAAATTTTCAGCGTCACATAGGGTCCAAGCCTTTATACCGCAATTCTTCGGTTTACTGAGTATATAAATCAGAAATGAACAACGTCCCCTAAAATCTATCAGTGGCTCGTCGCTAGTACCAAAAGCAGATGGTTCATATGATTCCTACAATTTTGGGAAAATAGATCAGCGAACTATTTCCTTCTATTAAACTAATATTTCTACAAATATAATCCTTTGGTCTTGAATGTGTATACCGGTAAACAGAGACGACTGCGTTTTACGTGTACCTTCAAACATATTGAAAATATTCTTCGAAATCCGAAAACAGTTTTAGGGCTGACCCAGCATCATAGATGTTATGTAGAGTAAAAATTCTAATTTGCATGTTCGCGAACGATACAAAAAAAAGGTTGAAACAAATAGGAAGAACTTACGATCAGTCGGATTTGTAAAAAAAATATTTCATAAAATATTAAGAAATAAGCGAATTTCGGGTCAGGCTTGACCCAGACTTCGTACTCCAAAGGTTAATAATATGAGGCACCTTACTTCCACTTCAGAATTGGATTTTACAACTTGGGTACCAATTACCCTTTCTACAGTTCATATCTTAAACCAAATGATTTCTTTTACTTTCACAAAAGTTTTTTTCACAAAATTCTAAGTGAAAAGAGATTTTCTACAAAAATGTATTTATCACTTACCTAACATAATATTGAGAAATATTATCTAAACTCTCTTCTTCTCTTTTAAGTCTTATTATTATTGGATTTTTAACTATATGTTCGGCAAACTCCATAACTTCTTGTTCATACGTGGCAGAAAAAAACATCATTTGACATTTACTGGCATCTAAAACCTTGTGTATTCTAATACACTGATCCTGGTGTCCTTGCGTAGCTATCATTACATCGGCTTCATCTAATACAAATACATGAATTTTCTTAAGATCAAAGACTTTATATTTTATAGCCCAATCTAAAACTTTTCCTGGTGTTCCAATAAGTATGTGTTCAGTTATTTGGGTATTTCTTGCTACTTGTTCTCCACTTACTGCATATTTCAGTTCAATTTCCGGGCAGAATTTTGCCATATGAGCTGCAACCTTAAATTGAAGTCAATATTACCGATACAGCTAATAATGTAAAGATAATTTATATAGATTGAAGGTTATATTGGAAACGATTTCAAACGGTCATAAAATTGAGGTCAAACAATTTGCTGATTATTCCAAATCAACAGCGAAATTGTATGTCGATCTGTATGGATGGCACCCTATGACACCGACCATGCATAAAATATTAATTCACGGTGCGGAAATCATCGAAAATACCTAATTACCCATAGGACAGCTGTCGGAAGAGGCTTCAGAAGCTAAGAATAGGCATTTTCGATTATACCGCGGGATCTTTGTGGGATCTTTGTGTAAAGTTTCAATATTTTGATTATTTAAGAATTCTATTGTTTTGTTATTATATTCTATTTTATCTATAGCAATAGTAGTGTTACCTTTTAGTAGTAGTGTTACCTTTTAGTAGTAGTGTATAGTGAAACTAAGAATTCCTGTTACAAAGAGAATAAAACAGCAATTTCAATTAAAAATAAATCAATAGAAAACAACATTGTGTTTACAAAAGCAGACAAAGACCTTTTAGTAGTAGTGTATAGTGAAACTAAGAATTCCTGTTACAAAGAGAATAAAACAGCAATTTCAATTAAAAATAAATCAATAGAAAACAACATTGTGTTTACAAAAGCAGACAAAGGTAACACTACTATTGCTATAGATAAAATAGAATATAATAACAAAACAATAGAATTCTTAAATAATCAAAATATTGAAACTTTACACAAAGATCCGACAGAAAAATATCAAAAACAAATTAAGCTAGCGTTAGAAAAGTCAAAATCAATACTAAATCCAATAGAACAGAAATACCTCAGTATCATGAACCCACAGCCTCCTAAATTATATTCTTTCATTAAACTACACAAACCGGATCACCCAATAAGACCTGTAGTTTCTTTTTATACAGCTCCGTCATATAAAATTTCAAAAAAACTGTGAGATTATTTTAGACCACACTAAATTTTCACCTAAATTTACCATAAAAAATACAATAGAACTAGTTAATAAAATACAACATTTTCAATTACCTAACAACTCCAGATTAATTTCATTTGACGTAAAAAATCTTTTTCCTAGTATCCCTCCTACAGAAACTTTTATTCTAATAAAAAGCCTTTTAGACCAAAATAGTACAAATCCAATAATTACATCTGAAATTTTACATCTTCTTGAAGTTTGCATAAACCAGGACTATTTTGAATTTAATAATAAAATTTATACAAATAACAGTGCAGGACTTATAATCAAAACATCCCGTATTCAAACAGTTTTTATATTGGTGGAGATACGTAGACGACGTACTGGTATGTTTCACAGGAACTAACAGGCAACTCGACCAAATCATATATTAATTCACTTCATAGTCATATTGAATTTACAATAGAAACAGAACAAAATCAATCCATAAATTTTTTAGATTTAAAAATTAGTAGACTTCAAAACAAACATGACTTCTCCATATTTCATAAACGTACCCATACTGACACGACTATACACAATTCGTCATCCCATCCAACACAACATAAACTGGCAGCTTATCATAGTATGTTACATAGATTAACAGAAATTCCGATGTCAAAATACAACTTTGAGACAGAATTAAATATAATTAAGCAGATAGCAGTAAACAACGGATACAACGAACAAACAATTAATAAAATGTTAAATCAAAAACTACACAAGAAAGCCCTGAAATTAGTATTTCCACCACCAGAGAAAAAACCCAGTACCTTCTGCTCGATTACATATACAGGCAAAATAACAACAAAAATTGACAGACACATAAAAAAGAAAGGAATAACACCAGCTTTCCGAACAAATAACAACCTAGGCAAATATATTAAAAATAACAAGAGCCAAAATAAAAAACACTTAAATAGTGGTGTGTACAAACTTCAATGTGGCGACTGCCCAAAAACTTACATCGGTCAAACTGGTAGAAACTTTGATAAACGAATAGCAGAACATAAAAGGGCTTTCAAGAATAGAAAAACAGATTCGACATACGTACTTCACCTTCTAGATCATAATCATTCTTTTAATGACAAATTTAAAATTCTTCACATTCAAAATAAAGGCCTTAAGCTATCTTTGTTAGAATCTATGGAAATCAACAAATTAAAAAACACAGATATAATTCTGAATGACCAACTTGAGACAAACAGTTCTCCCCTCCTCAACCTATTTCATTAGAGACTATAAATTTGTAAACCCAAGCCAAAATAGATCACTTGAGAAAGGCAATCAGCCGAAACAGCTGTAGTGATAATATTTAAAATAAATTTTGTGGAAGTTTGAAAACAAAGTTTTCAGTGTTTTATTGTTACTGTATGTATAGCCCGAAGAGATGCTTCAAAAGATGCAGGTATTGTTGTAAATAGCATTTACTTTGATGGACGAAAGGACAAGACCCTGAGAAATGAGAAAATAGGGAATCGTTACAACCGCAAAGAGATTTTGGAAGATTTTTCGGATCAATTTATTTATGACATACAACGCCTAGCCGTGGCACTGCAAATGGAATTTTTACTTCGATCGCAACTTTTTTTGAGGGTCAAAGTTTGAATGTAGATGATGTAATTTGCGTTGGATATGATGGAACTGCAACTAATATTTTCTGGTAGGGTGGTGTGATTCAATATTTAGAGGAGTATTTGGAGAGCCCGTTACAATGGTGCGTTTGTTTGCGTAATGCCAATGAGTTACCGTTTCGTCACTTGTTCTTGACCATAGATGGTTCTACTTAGGGTCCTAGAGAATACTCCAGACCTATTGGAAAACAGTTAGTTGCTTATGAAAATAAACCCAACGTGACTTTTTCTGTTGTGAATGGTAATTTGCCTGACTCGCCAAAAAATGTGGTCAATGAATTAATTACAGATCAAAAATATCTATATGAAATATGTCAAGTAGTATTAACCGGTTTCTGTACTCCTGAATTGACAAACCATCAACCTGGAAAAATGGCGCACTCCAGATGGCTTACTACTGCTAATCGTCTACTCAGACTTTATGTAAGTACGCTTAATCCATCAAAAAATCTACAATTCCTTGTAAACTATGTTATTAAAGTATATGCTCCGATGTGGCTCAGAATTAAGCAAAAAGCGTCTTTTAAAGATGGAGCGAAGCATATGTACTCTCGATTTCTACCCGAAAATCTAAGATATGTTGTGGATACTGTTATCGAAAGAAATGAGATTTTTTTGAGAAAGAAATTTTTGTCCACCCAGAAAAGTTACTTGTGAGTATGTTGTTTGATGATAGAGATCACATTAGGGAGTTTGCATAGCGAAGAATAAAAAAGCTAGAGACACTCAAAGTAGCGATAAACGCAAAATATTTAAAACACCAAAAATTAACTTCTCTACTAAAGATTACACCGATATTATTATGTGGCACGAATGTCAGGATTGTCACATTACAACACCACCATGCCGGTTCTTCGGCATATTTCTACTGAGGACCTTCACATTATGGTAAAAGATAATAGCTTCGATATTTTTGACTTTCCCTGCCACACACAATATGTGGAAAGATGCATTAAACTTATTACAGAGACCTCGCAGAATGTAACTGATGCTACTTCTAGAGATAGCTTTATCAGAACCACGTTGGAGTCTTGGGCAGAAATACCAAATTTTGGACACAAAAATAAGTTCAAATTTTTTATCAAATATAGGATCTATTTTGTTTATTAAGTTATTTTGAACTTTTTTCATTAACTTTAATAATAAAATATCTTTTATTTTAATTTGTGTATTATTTGAATTATTATTTGAATTTGAATTTGTGTATTATTATTTGATCTAGCAAAAGTTGCCACAACAAAAATGACCAAAATATGGAAGGACTGTCAAATTTCAAGAGCGATAAAGATGAGATTGATCAACTGCTTAATATTCCCAATACTGACCTACGGATGTGAATCTTGGACTCTGAGACAATCGGAGAGAAGAAAGATAGACGCCACTGAAATGTTCTGTTGGAGACGAATGTTACGAATTCCTTGGACCGACCGTAGAACAAATAATTCAATTTTAAAAGTTAGACAACGACTCTCTAGTAAAGTCCATCTCCAACAATTAAAATATTTTGGGCATGTTATGAGAGCAAACACAGAAAACATGGAAAGACTCATAATACAAGGAAAGGTAGAAGGCCGAAGATCACGAGGAAGATCTCCAACAAGATGGATAGATCAAATTACAGGAATATGCCAAAGACCTATGCATGAATTAAAAGAAATGACCAGAGACAGAGATCTCTGGAGACGGACAATACACGACATCACGTCGACCACTACACTCCCCCTGGGGGGTCAGGATTGAAGAGAGAGATTATTTGAAGTATATGATTTAGGTCTGTACAAGCGTAAAATTTACAAAACTTTAAAGTCTAGTAGAGCCCTGAAGATGACATGCTATCGTATTTATATTACATTTTTCATAATCTATAGAAAATTACGCAAATTTGGATATCTCTTGCGACAATGTAGCTAAAAAAAATTTTTATGCAAAGACAGGACACCGTAATACACATGCCTGTAAAATGGAAAGTAACTTGCATACCAGTTGCTGGCATAATCAAGTAACTGGTATGCACAAAACACATTTTGCGAGTCATTGGTAAGCCAGTAGCTTGTATGCGTGTACCTAGTTACATGTTTTTAAATAAAAAAAATTCAGTATGAAGGGTACAGTCGCGAACTCTTATTCATTTATTAAAAACGTAAAATTTTCTTTTGTTATTAATTACCTAAAATTTGTTGATATAAACTTATATAATGTAAAATATTGTTTAGATGCATTTTCTACAAACCTTTCAGTCTTTACATTTAGGTTTTATGCATTTGAATAACTACTAATATCATTTTCTATAAAATATTTTATCCATGTCTACTACAGAACGATTTTAACGTATAGCTTTCAGAAAACACGTTATAACTATTCATTTAGTAACTTTACACTTTATATAAAGGTTACACTTTTATGTATGTATATGCTTGCTTACCTCTCCAGTCTGAATTGCCAATTCATAGGTTGGTGACAAACACAATACTTGAGGATACTTCTTAGAAGGATCAACTCTGCTCAGCATTGCAAGAACAAAAGCTGCTGTTTTTCCTGTTCCTGACTGGGACTGAGCAATCAAATTTTGAGGAGGATCTGCCAGAAGTGCAGGTAAAGCGGTCTCTTGAATTTTGGACGGAGCATTAAATCCCATCTCGTATACTCCTTTAAGTAGATTTGGATTTAGATTGAGCGCTTCAAATGTTTTTACTGAGTATAATGGTGATCGAGGGTCTTTTCTTTGGACTTCTATGTCGTTTTTATTCTCTACTAAACCTTTTCTAATTATTTTAGCTAACAGACTAGCTTCTGCAGGATCAATTTTATCATCTTCTTCTTTGTTCTCTTCTTTTTTCGGTTCATCTTCATTAGGCTTTGTTATTTCAATTTCCTTTAACTAAAAATACCATTTATTAATAATATGTTTAACACGCATGATATAATGTGAATATTGCTTTTATGAAATAACATACTTGTTGTGTAAGTGATACATACAACATGTAGTCAAATATTTTATAGTTTGAAATCTAGTCACATATGAAATAAGTCAGATGGAAAAATCTCAAATTTTTTTTAACAACTTGGACATATTAAACCACTAAAGATCCAAGAATCTAACGTTAAAAACGTCCACTGTTAAACGTGAAATTGCCCAACAATCAGTGAAGTAAAACTATTTGCTTTCTGAGTAATATAATACACGTGCACTCTGACTAGCATTAAATAGCCTAGCACAGATTGCCAGTCAGATAATCTTAGAATCTCCTGACCACACGACACATTTAACGACATTATATCTGTCATTCTAAAAAGAAACGTGAAAAACAAAACACGTGTTCTTTCGCAGATTTAAGACTATTTAATTATGAAAGAGAAGAACTGCCATTAGCAACCACAGAGGATACCGGACCAACAATATTACGGGAAGCAATCATCTATGCCAGCGGTGCTCAAAGGGTCGATCGTCAAAGTTTTTGAAGTCGATCGCGATTCACGGAGAAATTACAAGGACTGTCCTGACTCACCACACGTGCATGATCGAAATAATTATGATGCTATGTACTTTACTTTGCAATTTGACGAGTCACCCGATATGACTGATAACGCCCAGTTGTGTATTTTCATTCGAATGGTATTTTCTGACATGTTGGCTAGAGAATAATTGTTAACAATGCTGCCTCTGAAAGAAAAAACTCGAGGAGAAGATATATACAACGTTTTTTATAAATTTTCTGAAACAATACGAGCTACCGATTTACAAACTCGTGTGTATTACAACAGATGGTGCACCATCCATGACTGGCGTTAACAATGGATTTGTTGCATTATGTCGAGCTAAAGATGACTTTCCATCATTTTTTTTCATTTCATTGCATCATTCACCAGCAAGTTTTGTATCCTAAAAATTTAAATATGGACAAAATCATGAAGATGAAAACAAAAATTGTGAATTCAATCAGAGCGCGACGCTTGCAACGACGTCTTTTTAAAGCGCAATTGGAAGCTAAACGGCTCTACGGGACACACTGATTTACTTCTGCATACATGATGTGAGCCGTGGAAAATTTTTAGATAGGTTCCGGGAGCTACTTCCCGAAATAATTTTTTTTTCGAAGAACGAGGGGACGACACTCATCTACTTCAAAACGAAAAATTACTCAGTGATCTGAGCTCAGGAAAGTCCTAACAGATTTAACAAATCATTTGAACCTCCTTAATTTTGAACCACAAGGTAAAAATAAAACAATTACCGATATGATGGGTGCAATACATTCTTTTGTCAACAAATTAAAATTATTGATTAAGCAAATTAGCAGAAAGGATTCAAACTTTCCATCGTTGAAAAAAGGGTAGCCGCTCATTTGAATTATGCTTATTACGAGACGGAGCTACAAGCACTTCATAGCGAGTTTGAAAGACGCTTCGCTGATTTTAAAAAACTGACAGATATTGTAACATTCATGTATAATCCATTACGTTCAATTTGTAGATTATTTCCATCCAAAATGAAGTACTGAAAATAATTTCGGATATACACCTTAAATCCAGAGCGACCGGTACGAAATTTTGATCTTTCATATCGTCTGAGAAATATCCATCTTTGTGACAAGTAGCACTGCAGCTCACAGCATTCTTTGGATCAACATACTTCTGTGACTCTGCATTTTCCCAAATAAAGATAGTGAAATCAAAATATCGTAATCGGCTAACTGACAAACATCTTTCTTCATTCTTGCGTTTGGCCCTCGGTAATTACGTACCATCACATGAAATACTTGTGGATGATATGCAGTGCCATGCATCAACATTCAAATAAAATTAATATGGAAAACATGACTTACAACTTTTTATCAACTAGAAATGTGCAAATAAGTATTTTATTTTCAAAATTATTTTTTTTACTATGCTTTGTTTGTAAACCAGGAGAAGTAAACTAAAGAGATAGATTCACACCCAAGAAAGTCACTAGAAAAGTTACCAAATACATCTTCTTTTTTGGTTGATCATAATATGATATTATCGGTCTTCGACGGTAATCCAAGGATATTATATTATACTAATACGTCGGTAGAGAGTTCTAAAAACGACTGTTTTTTATATAAAAGCAGACTAAAAATCTATAAATTAAAAGAATAACGCAGGAAAACACAAAAAATCGCCGATATAACTTAATTAACCTATGAAATGTCATTAGTGTCAAAATGTCATAACAGTTGAGTAAACTTGCCTGAGGTTGGACCAATTACAAACTTTGCGGCGCGGTAAATTTGAATTACTCCTCCTGGTTTAAAAACAGGGTAGAGCAGTCAATCTCCGGACGTTTGCAGTTTATGTGGTAGATCTCATGCAATATAAGTCTGAACACCACTGATATATGACATCAAAAACACAAAAGAGGACAAAGCTACTGGACTAGAAGATGTGCCCATCGAATTATTAAAACTCATTGATGATGTTATTGATGTAACAGTGGAAATCTTTAATCTAATATAGACTGTCACAATTTCCAGACAATGGATGCAATCACCTTTGTAGCAATATCCAAAAAGTCGAGTGCAACAACCACACAAAACTCGAGATCACAGAGCAATAGCTTTAATGGGTCATACACTTAAAACATTTTTAAAAATAATACACAGAATAATTGTAGAATTGTTAAAACTCTTGAATACGAAATTGGTGACACACAATTTGGCTTTAGAAATGGTATTAGCACAAGATATGCTTTATTCGGCTTAAATGTGCTGGTACAGAGATGCATGGATTGGATATGAATCAGGACATGTACTTATGTTTTGTAGATTTTTGAAAAGGCATTTGATAAGGTTCAAGGTAAAAAGCTTGTAGATATATTAAAAAGCAAAAATATTGACAGTCGTGATATGAAAATTATATGTAATGTAATCTATATTGGAATCAAATTGCCAAAGTAAGAGTTGACAACCAAAACACCGGGGCCAAAAAAGAACGTAAGTGGACTCAAATAATAATAAAGTAGCAAGGAAAATTTTACTTTCAAATTGGCTTTCAAAGTTACGTTACAGTCTGGATAAAAGTATCGAGCATCTATTGAAAGAAGAGCAGACTATGTGGAGCCTTGATACCTTCCTTGAAATTATCATGGGACCAGTAGTTGTGGATCTAGGCGAAGATACTGATAAACTGAGATACTGATAAACCTGAAGATGACATAAATGGCTCAGATTAGATTATGTATAATGTTAGTTTTTATTTGAACATATTTTTTATATTTTGTGGAAATAAATATTCAGTTATTGATCAACCAGTTGCTATGATCAAGTCCTCGTAGACAGTCTTACGTTACCATGTTATCAAATCCACTGCTGGTAACTTTAACATCTTAATATATAAGATCGAATAATGTAAAATAAATTTACACCAATAACTTTTAACGTGTATTTACCGAAATATTTAGTGGCTCAAAACATGTACACCTAGACACTGATGATGGAATATGGATTTCGAAAATAAACTTACTTTTGTGGGGTTACCGCAGGCGCAAAATGAAAATATTATTGGTCTTGTTGAATAGGGAATATCTCATAGGGACATAGCGGCAGTGGTAGGCGTAACACGGGGCGTTGTGTCAAAAATGTATGCTAGGTATAAGGAATTAGTAATACTTAAGAACAGACTAAGAAAAAGTGGCCTACAAGTAACAATGGCTCGCCACTATCGATTCATTGGCCAATTAGCTAGAAGAGACCCAAGAATTTCTCACCCACAGCTCTAAAGGGACCTTTTGGAACCTACAGGTGTAAGTGTTTCTGTTAAAATGCTAAGAAAAGGACTTCGTACCGACGGACTATACAGCAGTGGACAGTTATGGGTTCCCCAGTTATCCGGACAGATCAATATTGATCGCTAAAATTAGTGTTTTAACACCAAAACTGAAACGTTAGAAATTGGCAAAATGTGCTATTTTCAGTCGAAACTACGATTTGTGAAAAATCAGATGATCGACGGATTAGTGTACTTAGAGAGCGAAGAAGACAAACAAAAATGGAAATTACCAGATCTTTTCACAGATATAAAAAAGAAAGTGACATGATCTGAGTAGGCATTTCGATAAATAAAAAAACTTCTTTAATTTTCATCCAACTAACTTTGACAGCTCGTAAATATTTTGTTTTGGTTCTAGAAACTGTAGTTAGGCTATGGAGAGGTGCAATGGGAGAAAATTTAATTTTCATGCATAATAATGCGCCTGCACATACAAGTAGAGTGATTGTAGACTTCCTTGAAGAAGAAGATATCACTGTTTTGGAGTGACATGCTTGCTCACCCGGCCTTAACCCTATAAAGCAATTGTGGGATATGCTTAAAAGAAGAATTAGAAATAATAATATATATGTACCTTTATTTTGGTTTTTAAGATTGCTTGCGACTTTAAGAGTAAATTATTTAACTCATTTATGTAAGATATCACATCTTTTCTTAATAATTCGACATCAGTTTTTAAAGCTGCAATGATAACTTTCCTTAAATCAATACTGGAATTCATTAAAAATTGAATATGTATAGTGTAAAAACGTATAAAACTAAAAACTGAATATATAAATATAGATTTGACAGACTATTGACATTGATTTTTATAATTGTTCTTCTTTTGCAATGAAACTTTATGGTCTTCCTTTTTTATCGTAATAGGACTGGCGAGATAGAGATCTTGTGTACTCTTAACGTAATGTAACTCACTGAGCTAAGAGGGCCAGTTATTCCATCCATTAGGTTTAACGAAGGCATAAAAGGGACTAAAAAAGATCCAAGAGATCATGGAGGGTCTACTGCGACGAATTGGAGCGCATGACTACTATACCATGTCATTCCTAAATATCGTAATCCTTGAAAAGAATTTAAACTGAATATTCTAGAAAATTTTAAGTGTAACTAGCTGTTGAAATAACTTTGATGTTGAATCCTTTCTTTACTACAAAAATGATGAATAAAATGAAATGGTGACAATAAAAACTTAACGTGCTGATAAGGCTAAATGGTTCCGAGATTGTGATTATAGACTAGGAAATTTTCTATATTTGTTCTATATTGTACCGTTTTTAAATAAAACGAGCGGTTCGAATTTATATAAATATATTTATTTATAACTTTACAGTTCGGTACTTTCTTATCAACTAAAACCCCTCAATCATCGTTACTTATAATATATACAAATTATTATGTTCGAGAATATTCGGGAGTAGTCCCACCTCTAATTCGTTATTTGACGGGTGGAATTTTACAGCGCTCGATATATTGCCGGAAACTTCTCGGTGCTTCGAGATGCAACCGTTACATGGCCATGCCGAAAGCATGTTCGTAACAATATTTTAATAAATAAAATGGATACATGCATCCATTGTTGGAGCGGAGTAGAAAAGAAAGACCGCGCAAAAGCTAGAGTTGGAATTCTACTAAAGAAGAAATGGGAAAAATCTATAGACGAATGGGAACCCATAAACGAGAGAATTACCAAACTAAAAATCAAGATGTATGGCAGTGAAATTATAATACTAGCAACATACGGTCCAACGGAAGACAGTTCAGCCAATGAGAAAGAACGATTTATCGAACAACTTCAGGAACAAATGGATAAGAGAAAACCTAAACAAGAAATAATAATAGTGGGGGATCTAAATGGAAAAGTCGGAAGAAAAGACAATGACAGAACAGTTGGTCCATTTGGAGAAGACACAATTAACGACAACGGAGAAAGATTGATAGAACTATGTGAAGTAAATGATGTGAAAATTATGAACGGATTCTACAAACACAAAAATATACATAAGTACACTTGGACTCAAGAGACAAGAAAACTAAGATCCATTATTGACTACATTATCATGAACCACAAAAGCTCCATCAAAGTGAAAGACACCAGAGTGAAAAGAGGGGCAGAGTGTGGAACAGATCACAAACTTGTGGTGGCATGGATGGAATTCCCCTATATCTGGACAAAACAAAAACATATATCGATTGTTACAACGGGAACGACAATAAATGAAAAGAGGCTCAAATTACATCTATTACAGGAAGAAACAATAAAAGATCTATACAAAAGAAGACTAGACTAAAAACTAGACCGCTCCGAATATCTTGCGTAACACCTATTTACAATTATTATTCGCATGTAACCCCATTTGTGCTGCTGCTGCTACTAGTCCGGTTAGGATTTCCGCAGTTCTCGCCCTGGTTCTTGTTATAATGTCCATGTCGTCTGCATATGCTAAAATTTTGACTGATCTATTAAATATTGTTCCCCTGCTATCTAAATTAGCGTCTCATACAACTAGTACAACAACTTAGTTTTGTAATATATAAGTATTATATTGGTTGTATTATTTGTATTTTAGCCCTAGGCCTTTAAGCCCTGCTTGAGCATTATAAATAAATAAATAAATAAATTACTATAATAGCTAAAGGTCAAACTCTGAAAGCTTGTACTGGACAACAAACTCTTAGAACAGCTGCGAGACTTAAGAGGGCAGATAAATAAGGCCAGTCATATCTGGCTGTTTAGATGTTGTCTGGAATAACCCATACATGTGAATGGACAGTAAACTTAAATTACTATTTTTATTGGAAATAAGCCACAATTTAAGTTTAAAGTAAGTTTAAGATTCGGAAATGGTCCTTTGTAACTTATTGATGTTTTGTATTTTGAGAATATTTTGAAAATAAGTGAAGATTTAAATGTCGAAAAACTTATTTTAAACTTAAACTGTGGCTTATTCCCAATAAAAATAGTAATTACATGGCCGGCCACAAGAATAGCTTCAGAACAATAGTAAAGAACAGAAAAAGAATAGCTTCAGAACAATAGTAAAGTTAAAATTTATAAAATCTGTATCATACCTTTAATGACCGATGGAATAGAAACATGGAAAGACACCAATAAAACCAAAAGTATGCTAAGTACTACCAAAATGGAGATACTAAATGCAATATCAAGGAAAAAAAGAAGGGACAGAATAAGAAACATCATCATCATCAGGGAACAATTCGGCAGACAAGATGTAGTGAGATTGGGTAGGCAAAGACAAAGAGAATGGTACAATCATGTAAAAAGGATGTCTGTGTCAGGAGCACAGACTACCAAGAATGAACTAGAAGAAAAAGCAACTTCAAATGACCACCAGGCAGACCACCAAACAGATGGGGGGAGGAAGCTGGCAATCTACCTCCCAAGACTTCAACAATGGAATTAACAGATCTTCAGATCTACAATGAGTAATACTAGAAGAAGGTTTGTGAATCCAAAGACCAGCTGGCTTGCCATCTCTTTAGTTGTCCTCCTGGGAGTCTTCTTCCATTTGGTTTCCCATACCATTTTTGTATTCTATCTCCTCCCATTCTCGTTACATGTTGATTCAAATGTCTTCTTATTTCTCTTCCTTATATCATTAAATCTTAAACATCACATCACATCAACCAAGTACAGCTTTTTCTCTCTGATTACAAAGATTCTTAGGAATGCCAATACATTTGATCTAGCTTAATAATGTAATTTGATTTGAAAACCAAGCAAATATACGGATGCATTATATGCACTGTCCTTTCTTCTTATTTCGGTATACTCTTTATGAGTACAAGAAACCAATTCGTTGTGGATTTTTGCTTAGCTGAGGAGATATGTATGTAAAAATCTGAATTTTTGGTTTCGTCTATAGAAATCTTCGGATTTCTACTTTTGAGATTTATTGTCAATGTTGCTATAGCAACCACATCGAAGCCATTTTATTGTTGCTTTCTTTTACTTTGACAGAAAAGATTTGTTTTCACCACATTTGGGATTCTGTACCAATTGCTCTGATGATTCCTGCTAGTATGAAATAAGTATAAGCGAATATACAGAGGCACTATACATGAAATCAAATCTTAACTGTCCTTTTTTAAGTGTCCTTTTAAGTTAAGTCCTATAACTTAGAGTTATATTTCACAGTAGTGTGGTTGCTTCATTTTATTGTTATAAGTCTGTTTTTAATGCAACAGTAGCATTGGCAGCACTTGATTGCCCTCTTGTCAAAAAAGTTGTAAAGTTGCTTTAGGTGGATCAACTTCTAGTAGTATTTGTGAAATTTATACATCCATAGCTTTATCTTCAATATCACTCATATTTTGTCCAGTCACTCAAGTGATCTATTATGGTTTAGTGTCCATTGATCAAGCTCATAGAATGTTTGTTTTAAAAAATTATTGTCATAAATTTCTCAGCCACGATTTTTCTTTCTGCTTTTTTTCAAAAAGCCTTCCACTATATCCTGTAGCAGACTATACTTATCATTACGGAACACACTGCCTAGATATGATACTTTCTTCCTTTTTACAGTTGTTAATAATTCTATCTCTTTACCTATTTGTCTCAATACTTCTGTATTGGTGACTCTGTCTCACCAAGGTATCTCAGAATGTGTCAGTATAGCCACATTTCTAAAGCTTCTAACTCTTTTATAGTTGCTGCTGTTAACATACATTTTTCTACTCTGTAACGTAGTGTAGAGAGTACATAACATTTTGTGGAGTGCCATCAGATGCTAACACTTAGTTGTGGTTGCTTAAGAGCTTCCTTTTTTTATGAATCTAGATCTTGCTATTTCAATTCGGATCTTAATGTCTAAGATCTATCCACCGAGAAGCGATAGTGCCAGTAAACAACGAAATATACGCGTGTAGGGTTATAAACATTTTAATTGGCTGGCGTTTAGATCTCTCTCCGCCTATTTCAGATCTGTATAACGAAAATTAAGTGATATATATGAATATATATTTTTAAATAATAGAACATTTTTGATTCAATTCACATACAAAGTCGGCAATAAATGTTTTTCTCATCCCATATGTCATAAACTTGGGAATAGATATTCATTATACAATTTTTTGTTTGTGTTTTTAAATTAAATACTAATACTAAAATGCAACTGACTGAACCATTAAATTAGTATTTGAAGAGAAGTCGAACGATAAAGATGCATCCCTAGCCACAGTTAGACGATACTTCTGTTATTGCGCTGTTGCCAATTTGTTATATTTTATTGTGCTACATAGATTTTAAATCCATTTGTTGACAATTATGAAAAATGAGCACATACATTTTGCAATGCATATGGAATGACATTTAAAATAACTTTTTTTTCAAACTCTTTATATTTTGTGCACTTATTTCTATTTCCGTTAATCAGTCTGGTAAAATTATAATAAATCAAACTTGAGGAAAATGTATGTTATGCATTATTCTTATAAAAAAGATTTACAAATAATAATTGAGATTAGTGGGATAATTATGAAAATAAATACAAACAAACGAGGCTTACATGCCAAAAAAATCGTTCGCCTTCCGTTTTATAGCTAACTTGGGAAAAAAACGTGGCTACTAAGATGGCTTACCTTGTTGTCGTTAAAAACAATTAGGAAAAACTTGAACTATCACTATCACCATTACTACCAATTTCTATAATTAACGGTTCAACCATGACCTCAATAATATTATCAAGTTCCCAGAACTTTTTT